ACTGGTTAGGCCACTCCAGGACCTTGAAATGCTTCTTACGAAGCCACTCCTTCGTTGCCACTCCTTCGTTGTTTGGGATCATTGTCATGCTGAAAGACCCAGCCACGTTTCATCTTCAATGCCCTTGCTGATGGAAGGAGGTTTGCATTCAAAATCTCACGATACATGGCCCCGTTCATTCTTTCCTATACACGGATCAGTCATCCTGGTCCCTTTGCAGAGAAACAGCCCCAAAGCATGATGCTTCACAGTAGGTATGGTGTTCTTTGGATGCAACTCAGCATTCTCTCTCCTCCAAACACGACGAGTTGTGTTTCTACCAAACAGTTCTACTCTGGTTTCATCTGACCATAGGACATTCTCCCAATCCTCTTCTGGATCATCCAAATGCTTTCTAGCAAACTTCAGATGGGCCCGGAAATGTACTGGCTTAAGCAGGGGGACACGTCTGGCACTGCAGGATCTGAGTGCCTGGCGGTGTAGTGTGTTACTTATGGTTGCCTTTGTTACGTTGGTCCCAGCTCTCTGAAGGGCATTCACTAAGTCCCCCCGTGTGATTCTGGGATTTTTGCTCACCATTCTTGTGATGTTGACCCCACGGGGTGAGATCTTGCATGGAGCCCCAGATAGAGGGAGATTATCAGTGGTCTTGTATGTCTTCCATTTTCCAATTATTGCTCCCACAGTTGATTTCTTCACACCAAGCTGCTTGCCTATTGCAGATTCAGTCTTCCCAGCCTGGTGCAGGTCTACAATTTTGTTTCTGGTGTCCTTCGACTGCTCTTTGGTCTTCACCATAGTGGAATTTGGAGTGTGACTGTTTGAGGTTATGGACAGGTGTCTTTTATACTGATAACAAATTCAAACAGGTGCCATTAATACAGGTAATGAGTGGAGGACAGAGGAGCCTCTTAAAGAAGAAGTTACAGGTCTGTGAGAGCCAGAAATTTTGCTTGTTTGTAGGTGACCAAATACTTATTTTCCACCATAATTTGCAAATAAATTCTTTCTAAATCAGACAATGTGATTGTCTGGATTTGTTTTCTCATTTTGTCTCTCATAGTTGAGGTCTACCTATGATGACAATTACAGGCCTCTCTCATCTTTTTAAGTGGGAGAACTTGCACAATTGGTGGCTGACTAAATACTTTATTGCCCCACTGTATACAAAAAGACAAGGAAAACAGAAAAGGGAACAGAAGTCTTAGGTTTACACATTCTAGTCATTCCCACCATAAATTTCAGATAACTCAAGTTAGGGAAGGCACATGTTTTAAACATACCATGTGGTTGCATAGAGAAGAGAGAGAAAGAAAGAGAATCACTATTTCTTATTTTCCCTTAAAGTACCTTTATTTAGCCAAATTGGTTTCCCAGCAAAGCCCTAAGCAAAGTCTATTTTTTTCATATAGTTTCATATAGTTTCTTTACTTATCTCTGATTCCCGTCCCAGGCCTCAAGCAAGCTTTACACTGGGGAGCCTATCTCGACCCTTGAACTAGAACACCCCATGATTCCCTTATTCCTGATGCAGGGGTTCACTTTGGTTCTATCGGGTCTGGCGCACTGAAGCCTCCTTGTGAGACTTCCGCTTTCCACCAGTTTTGGGTCAAAAAGGGACCCATGGAGGACTCTGGATCCCTCACAGAGTACGTGGCGCTCCTTTAGGGATCTACCACCATGGTTTCAAACCAAAAAATGAGTCTGTCAAGGACACTTCTGCTCCCCTGCAAAAGGTACGGGACACTCTTACCGGCTTTACCTTCACTTTTCACCACCACTATTTGCAGACTTCAAATATCTGGGACGACCTCTGCTTGCTTTCCAGAGGTAAGGGACAGTCCTTGCCCGGGGCTTAATTTCCTAACTTTGCTTTGCTTTGATTTGCTTACAGGGCCTTACCAGCTAGTTGCCCAAATCCTATTCTCTCATTCACTCATTCCATTTCATTTTCACACAGCCTCTCCCTTTTCCTTAACAAAATGTTCTGTGCTCTGACCAAACCCCCATGCTTTCCAGGTTCTGCCAATTAAACAGATCCTTTCTGCAGCTAGGAAAGACCAGAAGGAGCAAAATCCAACTGTGATTGGGAAAAAAAGGGTCTTCTCACTCTCACACACAGACATACACACATTTTCTTTGTTCCCCTGGGCTTTAAACTTAAAATTTAGAGGTACTCACCTTCACCTTCTTTCCAAAGCAGCCCTTGAGCTCAAACCCCAAAACCTCCCTTTACTATCCTGGCTCCACATGGGCAGGGCCTGGGAAACCCATCCACAGACACAAGGGGTCTGCTGCCAGCAAGATGGGGCTTACCAGTCTCAGTCCATTGGAGAGGTTAGCTTGGAGTCCCATCTCTGGGGTGCCAAATTGTGGGAAGTAAAGTCTTCATCCTGGTTCATCCAAGCCAGAAATAAATAAGCAACATGACGACTGCTTTGGGAAGATGGTTACAGTTTATTGAAGAAGCAGAAAGATGGTTCTTGCAGGAAAGAGCAGAGGAGAGAAGAGCTGAGCACATGGGCAAGGGGTTTTTATACCCCCTCTAGCCTTTTGTTTGGAATAGTTTCCTGTTCCTGTGGCATGAACTTTGAGGCTATTTCTAAATGTTTTTCTAGGCCTTGATATCTGTGGTTTAATCCTATTATCATATCCTGCTTCCCTAGTGATGAGGCTAATGACTACTAGAGTTTGGGTAGGGTATGCAGATTTTCTCTTTGTCTTCTTGAGTGCTCTGGCTCCAACTTTCTGATAGTTTTACATCTGCATTTGTATAGGGCTGGCTCCTGCTTGGGGCAAAGAGATTTGAGGCCAGGATTGGTTTCTGGTTTTAAAAATCCTTTTAAGGAAAAATATATTTTTCTGCCCTTTTAATATTTCCTTCTTTGGGCTAACTTCCCTCAGAATTAAAGGCTGATTTAAGTCGATAAGGTAGCTGCTACATGCTGAGCCGTCATTGATTTGTTTAGTTTTGGCTACATGAACTAACTTCAGTTTGATGGAGTCTCCATTAGATTGAAGATAGTAAATCCTACTTGGAGAATGTATAGGTTTAAGGCAGTCTTGAGGATGCAGTGAAATATGCTCCATCACCATCATGCTGAAAAGTTATAATCCAATTAATCTCTTCTAAAAGATCTGATGAGAATCAGCAACCAATGGCTTCCGTTCCCATTTTCCAACCCAATCATTTACCAGCCCAAAGTTCAGTGACACAATATTTTATGTTCCATTGTATGCCGAAAGGCCAGATTCAGCACTGGCTTTGCCAGATAAGCTTAAAAAACAACAATCTACCATTGCTCTAATAATGATCTAATAATGATCTAACCATTGCTCTAATAATGATCCCAAACTAATCCATTTTTGGGATCTGCCAAATACATACAACAATAAACTCAGTGGTCTGGATTTAAGAAGCTGGACCAACCAAAAATAGCCAAAGTAAGGTTAACACCCATCAAGTTGAAAGTGAATACATTGCAGCAGATCTAGCTGACACTCAGACAAGAGTAGACCAGCTACAACCCCACAATATTTTTATCCATAATTTACTCAACCCAATTTTTTGAGTTTGTATGACACATGGGACTATAAACTAAATTTGGGAAACACATGGAACCATTAACCAAGTTTGAATGACACACAGAACCATAAACCAAGATAGAATGATACACAGAACCATTAACCGAGTTGGATAATACATGCAACCATAAATTAAACCATGCAGGTTGGGTCCAGACATACTCAACTATGGTACAATGGCCTGAATAGTGAAGAAACCCGACATTACCATTCAGGACTGGGTGGCCAACCCATATAAGCCAAGTCGGCAGGAATCTGATTGACCCCACCCTGACATTTAATGCAGAGCATTAGTAGCAGTTTCGGTTTATCCCGCAAAGGCCGTTCTGCAGACGTCGCTCTAATCTAGGGGCCGACAGGGAGCGGTGGCGCAACAGAAGCGAAGCCACTTCCTTCTCCAAACTCGCCTGAAATGCCTTTAAATATCCTTGTAAAGAAGTTTTCCCCCACCACACACACACACCGCCATCCCCGATTGGCTGTTCCTTTCCTCCTCCAGGGAGCGGCCTGAGTGCCACCAATCGATGGGTGGGAACCGGGCGCCGGGGGTCCCTGTCTGACAAGCGATCGGGGGCGGCGGGCTGAAGGAGGAGATGCTGCCGAGCCATCCAACTGCACGCGCACGCGCGCGCGCTCTCGCCCCCGCCCCCCCCGCCCCCCAGCCTCACACGACGAGCGGCTCCGCTTAGAGCGAAAGGGGAGGGCAGAGCGAAGGAAGGGGGGGGGAATAGAGGTTTTGTGTGCCTGCGCGTGTGTGTCTGTGTGTAATTGCTGTTACAGTAGACCAGCTGAAGGGTCAGCCAGGGAATATTTATACACTCCGGCGCGCGCATGCCCGCCCAAGAAGCGCTCGCCTCAGCCGGGCCAACCCCACTTTCTTCGCTTGGCCGGCCTCGGCTCGAGAGGCAGGATCGCCAAGCTCGGAGCTTGAGACGCGGACGAGCCGTTCCAGCGCCGGGGAAAGAAGTGGCGCAGCCGCGGAGCCGCTCCGGTCGGGAGGCTAGCCTGCCTGCCTGCCTGCCTGCCAGCCAGCCGGCCGGCGTGAAGCGCTACAAGGTGAGAGGCTGCTGAGGAAACGGTACCCGGCACGTGTAACGGAGGCGCCGGGCGTTTTCAGGCCGGCCTTGGACCAGGGGGCTTTTCCGGAGGTGCCCGGCCACCGCCACCTCCCGCGCTTGGGAATGCGCCGGGAAAGCCAAGGCCGCGGATCCGGAGGGGGGAGGGTGCTGGGACCACGCGTGTCCGGCCGCCCACGGGGTGGTGGGTGGACGGACACCTCTGGAGGCGTTTGAGAATGGGCGGAACGCGCGGGAATAACTCTGGGGGTCCCGGAACTGCCAGCAGCGAGGGAGAGATGGCCCGGTCCGGGTGGTAAGCTCCCGAGGAGGGCACACTGCGCAAAGCGGGTGGAGGCAGGCTTGGACGGGCACAGCCGAGTGGCCCTTCGCCGGGACTGCGCTTCTGTCCCTCTTCCGGATTCTCTCTAAATGTGATCTCGCTAAATCCCTTTCGCGCAGTCCGCAGCCAGCGCAGAACTGGACTCTCCGGAGCTCGTGGGCGGGCGGCTTGGGGAGGGGGGTTGTGTCAGGCGCTGCTTCATTCGCAAATGCCTCCCCGTCTCCATCTGCAATCCAGGGGCAAGGAACGTTACTTCTGTTCGACTCCCCCTCCTACTCCGGAGTAGGCTTTCGCGCTGATCCCCGCGGGCTCTCTGGGCGAGAGGGGGGCGCGCGGGGTCCCCTCTTCCCCAGGAAGGCTGCGGTTGAATTCGCCGCGCAACCGCCTGGACACCTGTGGCCGCTTTCCTTCCCCTTTTGGGGGTGGGGTTGCCCGCTCTGCCCACCCTCGGCTTCCTCCTGCCTTTGGCTTCCCCCTCGCCTGCTGCGCCCGCTCCTTTCCGCCAGCGGATCGCAAGACTATCAACCGAATCCATTCGGCCCGGGGGCGCCTCCCGTTCGCCCCCATTGATAGGCTCCTGGCTTAAGCCCCGCCCCCCTTCGCGCACGCTGTGTTGTAGGTAGGACGCGTAACCTTTGAGAAAGTTCGCCGCCGGCTGCGATCGCAAACGGCTATTGGGTTTGTGTCTGTGCTTTGCTTTTGTTTTGAATATATCGTGCGGAAATTGCTACCTGCATCTTTAGGACAATGTGGACTTTCCTCACTCTTATTTTCCCCTCTGGAGTTCACACGGCAGAATAAATCCCAGGCTTCCCAACTACGGCATCTCCCTCCCCCGCGCACCCCTTTTATGCGATCCAAGCTTAAAATACTGAATTCGTTGAGGAAAACAGAACCCAGTGAACACAAGTAACAAACTCTACTTTGAACTTCAGTTAGCCATAACATCCTTTTGACTTAGTGCACTGGTTTAAAAACACCTGTTGCAGGTTATTCAGTAACCATGATCAACCATTGTGGCTTAGAGCCATGCCTGAATTTAGCCATTTTTTTAATGTAACACTATCTGGTTTTGCAACATGTAAGCTTGTAGCTCAGTTATGTCTATTAACTGCAACTGAAAATATTTCAGCTTTTATGTTTACAGTCTTCTAAGAAAAAGATTATTTTCTGCTCTGACCCTTGTCCATCATTATTAGTATTAGCAGTAAGGATGCTTTTTAATGTTAGCATTATTAGTATTACAGTATATTATTAAATGTCTCCAGAATTGGGAGTTTTCCCTCCAGAAACTGACAGTTTTCTCTTAATGTCCAGCATTCAGGGATCAGGGAATTGGTTGGCTTCTGACAGAAATCCTGTTTTTCCAAGCTGGAGATTGCATTGTTTGGGGATGAGAGGACCAGGGGGGTGGGGTGGAGAAAGACTGTTACTATGACTGTTCTTAAATGAGTCGTTTCCTCTCCAGCATTAAGCAGAAGTTAGTTTTCCTTCCTGAGAGAGAACATTTCTCTGACCCACAGGGAGTGTTCCCCCACCCTTTTTTTAAAAAAAAAATGTTGATTTTAGACTAACAGCTTTAGGAAAAGGACTGTAGCTAAGCGTTGGGGGTAGATGTTGTGAGTATAAGTGTAAGAGTGTAAGAGATGAACAGCCTGAGCTGGAGCATGGGGTTAAATGTATCATCAGTTTAGAAACATTGTGTTCCCACAAGAGACCCATGTCCAGCCCTTCCCTATGAATTCTGTTGACCCTTATCTAATGCCAGTTTGGCTTGACCGCTAGCGCAGGGGTAGGCAACCTTGGCTCTTTTATGACTCGTGGACTTCAGCTCCAAGAATTCCTGAGCCAGCTTGGCTCAGAAATTCTGGGAGTTGAAGTCCACGAGTCATAAAAGAGCCAAGGTTGCCTACCCCTGCGCTGGTGCAAGTGGTCCTTGACTTAATGACCACAACTGAGCCCAAAATTTCTGTTGTCAAGTAAGACAGTTAAGTGAATTTTGCTCCATTTTATGATCTTTCTCGCCCCAGTTGTTAAGTGAATCACTGCAATTGTTAAGTCATGTAGATTGCCCCAACTAACTGTTTTCCAGATGGGCTGCAAGGACACCTTCTAGAAGTCTAATTAGCAGGTTTTCCCATCTGGCGCTGCAATTTGAGGAAGAAATTCACATTATTTGTCAATCAGCCCATGCATTTTTCTCTAGCTAAGTTAATATTACTAAGTTTTGCACTGATAACATCTCAGCAGGTCATCTTGAGTTGTCTAGGACCAGCTGTTGTGCCAGTGTGGGATGAAATGATAGTTAAATAGAATTGCACATTAATCATCCAACTTTGGTTGACATCCTTTGGTAAGGATCTGAGAATGTAATGTTTTATTTTGTTTAGCTAAGATGTCTTTGATTCTTATGCATTATCATAGAAACAAAAGGAAATACAGTATTAAAGAGGAATCCTTGAGAATGTGATTGTCCTCTTTATAAAGTTTTAAGTTACTTCATACTGGAACTTTAGCTATATTATAGTTCTTTAAAAAAGTAATTATGCCACAAAAGTACTCACTGTGAATTACCATTTAGAAACTTGAAAAGTCAGATTGAGGATGATGATTCTGGAGAAAATCTATCTGGTTATTAAGAGTTAACACCAACTTGATGATCTCTAATCAATCAGGCAGTTGGTTATCATATTAAAGAAACCAATAGCTCATTGGAGCTAATTCATAAACTGGCATTTCTATGCAGACTCTCTAGCTTTGACCAAGCTTCATTCCTCCATGGTAACTGAGGAATTCTGGGAATTGAAGTCCACACATATTAAAATTGCCAAGGTTGGGAAACCCTGATTTAAGTATTGAAATTTATCAGGGTTTAGCAAAAAATTAGCAAAAAAATTATGTCTTCACCATACTGGGAACTGACTTCTATGTCAAGACTATGTGGCTTATTAATAATTTGTGCATTAGTGATGCATGTATTAGAGAGCTGATTTGAAAAAGAGCTTAATACCTGTATTTGTACAACATGGTTCATTCAGCTAAAATGGGATTGAGTTTTGCACTTCACATAATTGCCTTTGCATATTGTACGAACCAATCCCATCAAGCTAAATATGGCTCAGTTGTTTGGTCATCTTAAGTTACTGGAGCCCAAAATTCTGCCTTCTGGAGCATTGTATGAACCAGACACTGTTTTATTGACCTTTAGTGAATTTGCTATGTTGGTCCATTATACCCTTAAGGTTTCTTAAAACCTTCCTTGTGGCTCTGCAAATCAAAAGGCAGGCTGTGGATTAGCTCATATCTTAAAAAGAGAGAGAGGCCAGATCAAATCTTTGGATTCCCAATTGTATAAATAGCAATATCTGGGCATCTTAAATGAAGAGCTTGATGTAATGGAACTACTGTGCTATTGTGTTCTGGATGTGAAAAGCCAATTCCCACCTCCAGACTCCATGGCCAAGCAGAACAGCTTTTATTAATGTCCTGGGTAAGCTAAAGCACTAATTTGCCTGGGGAATGTTCATTACTGGCAAAGCCCCTCCCTCCTAGCAATGTCTCTATTGAAACATATGTGGCTGTTCAAAAAATGCCTTGATGTGCATTCATCATGTACTTGGGTAGTCAGCAAGTACAAAATGTAGCATATGCAGCAGCCTCCGCAATCGGTCCTCACTCCCCACATCCGCACAAAGATAACAGTCTATTCAGAGTTTTCAGTGGGATCTGGAAAATTAGAACCTTGAATAGATTCATCAAAAATATTTTTTACTTAGCTTTTCCAGTGGTAGCTTTTCCAGTGTGCAAAGGGTTTTGTCATCCTTGCACTCACTGAGACAGTACATGGGGATGTAACAAAGCTTTCCTTTTGTGACTGGGATGCTTTGTGTGCTTTGGAACAAAACAGCCCGTATTTAAGATTAAAAAAAAAAATTATGAACAGGTTAGGGCCAGATTGTTAGAAATTCGGGTTTACAGCATTGACCAACTTTTTTTTCCATCTTTAGAAGCGTCATAAGCCATTCCATGGGGGAATTCTGGAAACCGAAGTCCACCCATCTCAAAGTTGTCAAACTTGAAAAACATTGATTTACAGGCAGTCCTCTATTTATGACTGCAACTGGGACTGAAATTTTGGCCATAAGTTGAGGCTCCCATGTGACTGGTTCCGATTTTGCACCATCATAAGTCTGAATCATGTTAAGCAAATCATATGGTTGTATCTACTCAGAATCTACGCTCCCAAATGAGTAAGATATAACCAAGGGATGCTACAATCAGTTATAAATATGAACTGTTGCCAAGCACCCAAAATACAGTCCTGTGACTATGGTGCGTGTGTGTGTGTGTGTGTGTGTGTCTGTGCAACATTTTACAATGGCCAGAAGTGCTTTATTGGCCATAAAGCACTCTATCTGAGGCTGTCATAACTCTAACCAATTATTTTATCAACCAGTCATAAGTTGAGATCTATTTATAGTTCAACCCTTTGCAACATGTAGGAAAACTATTTAAAGCATTCAGGAGAAATGGTTTCCCACCCAACTTTTAAAGCCTTCAAGAGATGCAGAAATCGTAAGCTCCATAGATGGATTTAATTATTTTGTTATGCCTTGCTTTGATTGTCTGTGGAAGTTCTCAGTCATCCAGGTCATGCTTGTCCCAAAGATTCTTTCGAAAAGGCAACCGGACTTTGGGACCTTGCTTTGATTGACATCTAATCTAGCCTGCCACTGAGTGAAATAAATCCAGTGCCAGCTATAAGCAATCATCCATCTTCTGCTAGGAATACTTCATGGACAGAGAGCACCCGCTGTTTCAAAGCTGCATTTACACTTAGCTACAAGGTCACTTGCATGGATCTGGCGCAGTAGGATGGGTGAACCCAACCACTGTAGATAATGATTAAAGGTTAGTTTTTTTTCTATAAGCCCCATCTACCTATTGGGGAAATGTTGGAGGCATGTCAATGACTCCTCCTCTCTGAATATTAGCTGGCCTCCGATCACCACTATTTCTACTCCAGCATTTGTCAGTTCCATTAACCCTTTGTTTCCTGAGTTCCTTCATACCCCTCACCTCTCAGTATAACACAGATGGAAGGGACTTTGATGGTCTTCTAGTCCAACCCCCTGCTCAAGCAGGAAACCCTATACCATTTCAGACCAATGGTTGTCCAGTCTCTTCTTAAAAACCTCCAGTGTTGGAGCACCCACAACTTCTGGAGACAACTCATCCCACTGATTAAATGTTCTCACCGTCAAGAAATTTCTCCTTAGTTCTAGGTTGGTTCTCTCCTTGACTAGTTTCCATCTGCTTTTCTATCTCCCACCTCTGTTTTTGAAATCTGCTTGTTTCCAAGCTTCTGCTAAGGTAGAAGAAAATGGAGAAGATCTCTACTACTTCATTTGGGGGAAAAAGGTGCGTGTGGGTGTATTTTGCAGAATTCTCCAAAATGGAGTCGTTGAGAATCTGCCCTGAAAATCCCCAGGTTTGTCTTGCTTATTTGCAATTTTTACTTTACTTGTGACTTTCAATTGGTTTCTTCCTCTTTCCCTTAAGAGAGGTGGTTGTCCTGCAGATCAGTTTCAGTCACTACAGTCTAAATATAGTCTTAGC